CCCCCCTCGTCGGCATTTGCCTCCCACGTTCTCCGGGAGTCTCACCTGGTCGGTAGCATCCTCCTGCACTCCCGACGAGGACTTTCTCCGAAAGACGGCTAACTATATAAGCGAGATGCACGCTGTTTGAAGCACGTTAGACGAAATCGCACGGGTGCGTCGAGCAGGCCACGTCGAGCCGCCGCGCCCCGATTGCATTCTGTTTTCCATTTTCGTAAGTTCACCCCGCATATACGCGACGGTAGCGCCTGGGAGAAAGAGAGAGAGAGGGAGAGACAGCATTCGTTCGTACGAAACGCAAATTCGTGCATGTGACTCGGCGCCGAGGAACACCACAGAGACCTCCACGAGACTTCGATCGCCGGGGACCATGAGGCCCGCGAGAAGCTGGGCCCCTTTGGCAGTGACCGCGCTGGTCGCGACGGCTCTGCTGCTGAGGCCCATCCACGCCGATGGTAAGATCTGGGAAGAGTCCTCGCGTTCGTCGTTATCTAGCGTTAATCCCGTGATCCTCGAGATTCTCGTACGGCACAGATTTCCAAGAAACGTCCTAAAGACGTCCCAGAGGGTGTCTCTATACTGAAAAAAATTGTTATATCGACAGCACTATTTTAAGTGAAAATTATGATAATTTTGCTATTTTTTATTTCTCTTGTTTCAATAAAATTTTATTTGTTTCACATTAATATACTGTTGAATCAATGAGATTGTTTTCAAAATAATTCTGTTGATACATTTTTTTCAGTGTATATCCTTTGAACGTCCTAAGGACATTCCCAGGATGCTCTCGGATAAAATGTGCTGTATGGATTTCTCTTCGGGGTTTTTAAAGGAACTTAAACTTGACTTGCGAGTTTTTACCGCGGTGATGAGAAAAAACGATACACATTATTGTGATATGCAGAACAGAGGAATGCAACAGAACAATTAATCTTGCACGAAGAAGCTGTCAGAGTCTGTTGATCTTTTATAGGATGGGGCATTTTCTTGTATTAAGATAAAAGAGAGATCTTATAAACATCTAATTGTTGTTTCATGTTCAATGGAAAAAAAACAAACAGAAAGAGAAGATAGAAAAACATGAGACGACCATATTAATTTTTCGCAAGAGTAAAAGTAGTCTTAGGAAAAATCGCGTGTCGGATTCTGCATCGGAAAGCGAGATAAATTAATGACTTTGAGGGAAAGAATGTTTTTTTTATAATATTAAGTTGCTCGCGCTTCACGTTAGGCTTCTAGCTCCTCTTTCTCACGCATTTCATAATAGCTTATTAAATTCATTACAATAAAAAAGAAGAGGCATTAAGAGGTAAATTCTCTTGTCGCTGGCGCACACGCTTCCAAGTAAGATCTTCAACGGAATACAATTTAGAAGGGGGATGCGATATAAGAAACGCACTGTATGTCGATAGTAATTTCACGGTTAAAGTACGCATTACGTAGCGAACGCGCCACGTAACATTTTTACCTTAATGAATGCCGCCACGGCGGATCTCTACTTTGTCAGCTTGTCGGAAAACTTATTAGAAAGTCCACTGTTGTCCCGCAACACGCTGTAATATGTGAGTAAAAAATGGAGTTTACGCGACGATTTGGCAGTTTTCACTTTCAGCTTGTTAGACTGCATTAAATCTGATTTTTCATTAAGATTAGAATCAACCTTAAATTAGAGTTTAAATATAAATAAGGAAGCACACCGGTAAAAAATTAATTCTTGATATATTCCCTGCCGCCTTAAATCGACATAACGAAGTGCTTAATCAAGAGATAAAGTAAAAACGTAGTTAATTAAGCATTAAATCCGAATAATCAAATTCTCGGTATTTTCGAGAGTAAACATGTTACAAGTCTTTTATTATATACCTGCTTCAAGTTCTGATTAAAACGTTTCATTTTTTATCTCTCGAATTGATTTATGTTTCCGATTAAGGTTCAAGCGTGCCTGTAGGCGTGCTACTTCACGCAGTTTCATCACACGCCATCGGTTAATTATAGTAAAAATTTTTAATAACTAACATTCTCGTCATTCAAACAACGAGATGTTTTTACGTTGCAGATTATCTTAATTTATTCCTCCAACATTTTTTCAAGTTTACTCGAGCGACCGGTGCGCTTTTCTTTCCTTCGAGCAATACAGGTGATTTTGTGAAATTGGGACGCGCGAAAAAGTAGAAGCCGTGTGCATACCGGGCTTGAAATAGTCGAGTATCAGGGAGACGTGAACTATCGGACAGCATCTCTCGGCAAATTGCGCATGGCGTGTTGGGATCGTTGTATAAATCAGAGCACTATCAGGTGCGATCTACCGTAATCTAACTCGAAAGCGCGCGCGAGCGTGCAAGCCGAAACTTCCCCGCGATTGTTCCGATTTCGATTTTAACACGTGTAAACGTCACGCGCCCACACGCGAGTTATATTGTTTAAATGCCGCGCGTGCGTTACAGATTATTGCAATGTTTTGCCAACGATTGTCTAATAAGAAAATGTTAACAAATTAGTCTATCGAAATAAAAGACGGTGTTTCAAAAAGGGGATTTTACTTTTTATTTCGCGCTATATTATTTTGTCACGCTTTTTGTAAGTACCTTTTTGCTTTATTTTACAACTCTATTTCATTTTATTTGACCGCTTCTCGTTTCGCGAATCGATTTATTTTATTCCATTCAATTTTTATACGTCGCAAACTGAAATTTTCCATTTGTTATTTCTTCGCACCGTTTAACTTTAGCCATATGAATTATTTATAACTCCCTTAAATCAAAGCTTCCTTTTTAAAGGTCGAGAGATTAAATTGGAGAAATTATAAATGTCCATTTGTTTAATCCTTTATGATCACATTGGATCAAATCGACTTAAAACAATTTTGATGTTATATCTTTAATTAATCTCTGGTTGGTATAATAATCAATCTTTCATACAATATAAGTTCACACTTTTTTCTTAAAAATTACAATGGCCTCTTTCATTTCTCAGAATAAATACTTTTTCAGAACGCGAACTGTTGCAATATTTTTTTTTCTGAAAGTCTCACATTTGTAGATAGCCTTAATTTTTATTAAAAAGAATAAAAAGTTTAAAAAGTTATAATTTTTTAAATAAAAAGACTCATTTAAATAAAATTTTCATTTTCACAATTTTTTTAACAACTTAAAATTGAAATCTTTATAAAGCCGCTGTATTTCAATGTTCTACAATGTTTAAAGTGTGGTCAGTAATTCTTTTTACTTCAAGGAACAAAATTACGAATACGCGGCAATCAAAATGCGCTGAGGTCATTTTAACTTGAGATCATTGCACTCTAAAAACTATATCAGGGTTGGTTTAACATCATGCAATATCTACATAAATCTCTGCGTTGGTGTTAATAATAAATCCACACACGTTAATACCACGTTAGTGTTAATATTAACGTCATGTTGCTAGTAATATTAACACCAACACGGTGAAAGCTGTACGAACATCGCATGCTGTTAAATCCACACTGATCTCTTACAAAGTGTACGGAACTTTCAAGAGACTGCAAGGGATTAACAGGTAGGAGAATAGCGAATCGCTGATTCGGGATTAATTGGCGTGCTCGCCAGGTCTCAGCAGATGACTGTCGACCCGCCGATCCGGTCGTAAATGATACCAGCGATGATAATCGCTTCTTCAACTGTCGCGGCGGAGCATCACGCTCGCGCGATAAATCAATCGGACGCGCTGTTCGCGTTCCGGCGCATCAAGCCGCGATGAAAGCGAGCGTGACTCAATCGGCGCCTTAACGCGCGTTTGACAAACGAAAAAACGTCCGTGCTATTATTGTGAAAATCCGCGTTGGTGTTTCGACTGTACGACACAAAGCGGCTCGTAATGACTGTCTTACAACGAATCCGCTGATGATTATAGCGCGGAGCAGATAAAGTCCCGCGATAAGAAATCGTCACGGTCTGATTGCGACTTCCGTGACTAAGTCAGTTTAGGATACTATCCGACGCGAACATAATTTTCTGACTTTAGTCGCAAATTTTCTTCCTTTATAATGCAGACGTCGTGTTCCTAAATTGAAGAGAATTAGAGTCTTTTGATTTCCTGCAAATTGTTATAATACGAATTTAGATCGATGAAAATAAATCTAATTAAGTAAAAAGTGAAAAAAAGAAATAATTAGATCCTTGTAAATTGTCCCGATTTTTGTACTTACTTGAGTTTTAATCAATTCAATAGTTATTAAACGGAATTTAAATTTTTATCGATGACGTTTGATCGTTAAAACGTTGTTAAACGGAATTTAAATTTCTGTTAATAATGAATTATTACGAAAAGACTTAGCTGTATAAATTCCTATGGGAAGAGAAAACGAAGTTATAGAATTTCTACTTTGTATTATGTTAACTTCCAATCTCTTGATTGCTAGGAAGCCGCGTAAATGCTATTGCCAACTTCTTGTCGCTAATAGCGTCACCGCAAACAATAAACGTTCTTCGTTAGTGGTAATTTCATCGTAAGATTGCGATATGTAATAAAAAGCCACCAGCAATGCAAGAAAGCATAAGTTACTGAGAGAGCAGTTAAATTAATTATAGTATAATTTCTAAGATTATAGATTAAATATTAATTTCTCAAATATATCAGATTAATCAAAACGCAATAAAATGTTCTGCGTCAACCAAGTTATAATTTATATATTTTTCTTATATCTAAAACATATTTTTGAAAGAATAAGATAAAATATTTGTTCAAGAATAAAATTTTAGGTCTTGAAATTATTTTCCAGCCCCTGTGGGCAACTATCTACCACCGTCAACCAGTTACGGCACACCTAATCTAGGAGGTGGCGGCGGCGGGGGCGGAGGTTATTCCGGCGGCGGCGGTGGAGGAATATCGACGAGCTACGGTGCGCCTTCAGGTGGATTCGGCGGCGGGGGCGGGGGCGGATTCGGCGGTGGTGGCCACGGAGGTGGTCGACCTTCCTCGACATACGGAGCACCCGGTGGAGGTGGCGGTGGTGGTGGATACTCCGGTGGCGGCGGTGGAACACCGTCCTCCAGCTACGGCGCACCTCCGTCCTCCAGCTACGGTGCACCTCCATCCTCCAGCTACGGTGCACCACCATCCTCGAGCTATGGAGCACCGTCCAGCGGTGGTGGCGGCGGTTTCGGAGGTGGTGGCGGCTTCGGAGGTGGTGGCTTCGGCGGTGGAGCACCTTCCAGCAGCTATGGAGCACCTTCCAGCAGCTATGGAGCACCTAGCTCTGGCGGAGGTGGAGGCTTCGGCGGTGGAGTACCGTCCTCCAGTTATGGAGCTCCATCTCGTCCTCCCTCCAGCAGCTACGGGACACCATCCGTAGGACGTCCATCGTCCTCTTATGGCGCTCCTTCTAGCGGAGGCGGTGGATTCGGCGGCGGCGGTGGTGGTTTCGGTGGTGGCGGCGGCGGCTTCGGCGGCGGTAAACCATCCTCAACTTATGGAGCACCGTCGAGTGGAGGCGGCAGACCATCGTCCACGTACGGTGCGCCTTCCGGCGGTGGTGGAGGTTTCGGTGGTGGCGGCGGCGGTTTCGGAGGTGGGGCACCGTCCTCGAGCTATGGAGCGCCACCCTCCACGAGCTATGGAGCACCTTCTTCGACCTACAGCGCACCCTCCTCGAGCTATGGGGCACCGCGCGGCGGTGGTGGTGGCGGAGGTGGATATTCTGGAGGTGGAGGCAAACCCTCGTCCAGCTACGGAGCTCCCAGTTCTGGCGGCGGCGGCGGTTTTGGAGGTGGCGGTGGTTTTGGAGGAGGTGGATACTCTAGTGGTGGTGGAATATCTTCAACTTACGGTGCACCCTCGGGAGGTGGCGGTGGATACTCCGGAGGTGGTGGCGGATATTCCGGTGGTGGCGGCGGCAGCGGAGGATATTCTGGTGGTGGTGGCGGCGGATATTCCGGCGGTGGCAGTTTCGGAGGGTAAGATATGATAATATACGCAATAAATGCGCGAAACTGTTCATTTAAAAAAAAAACCAAAGACTGTCTTTTCGTTTTATGCAAGACACTGCCTTAATCTTGTTCAATATCACAATATTAAGTTCTAATTATATAAATATATGTAATAATTAAGATACTGCTGGAATTGCAACTTTTATTTATTTAAAAATTTTATTTATTGTCCGCACTTTTTTCATCTACACTTCTTTAAATCTACCAATTAAAAGTTTTTCTCACGGTCTACTGTTGTTATCCTCAGCTCTGGTGGTTACTCCGGAGGCGGTGGTGGCGGATATTCCGGCGGTGGTGGTGGAGGTTACTCCGGCGGTGGCGGTGGCGGTGGCAGACCGTCGTCGTCTTATGGTGCTCCGAGCGGAGGTGGCGGACAGAGTTACGCCAGTAATGGAGGATACCAATACTAATCCAGATATGTGTTCACCCGGCGAGACGATTTCCGTGCTCAATCACGTCGGCTTCCACCAGATTTTCCGCGTTGAACGACGCAAACCGAATTTATCGCAACCTCAAGACTCGTCAGTTCGATCGATCAACTTGATCGACTACGTCTTATCAGAAAAGAGACGTCGATCCGAGAGGCTTGTTTCAATCGAAGGATGATGGTCTTGGTGCCTAATTACGAAGAGATAATCTCGGACATGTTAACGTTGTGAAAGGTCAGAGGAGATCAACGCTGAAGGCGTCGTTGTTACATCATCGAATGTGTCCTTCAACGATCACATGGATATATTTAAGATTTTCTACGAGAACATCTGTATGACAACAGCTGACGGGAGAAACGAGCGAGGATCGTTCGCCGCATCGTGAAATTCGTGCTAAAGATTTAACAACGATGAGTTCTCAGTCGGGAAAGTTGTGAGCGAAGGAATACTCGTCCCGAATGCAGGCGCGTTCCCGCGAACGGCCGAAAGAATAAGATAGTTATTTTATTTTTTTTTTCCTTCCCCTTTAAATGTCATTATCACTTTCATATACCGGCTTCCAGGAAAGCGTCTGCTTGTGGAACGTTACTTCCGTCGACGTCGAAGAAAAGCGAGGAAAAGAAAGAAGAAGAAAAAACGAAGAAAAGGAAAACGAACGAGAAAACTCGATTTTCCACATTCGGAGCCTGTAACTTATTTATTTTGTAAAGACGCTTTTTTTGTACTAATAATAAAGCCGCTACGCTGATAAGGAATCTCGTCGATTTGTCGACTTTTAATTTGTTCATCCCGTTCCATTTTGTACTAGAAGTTAATCTTCTTTTAGGAAATCTCCTACACTTATTTCACTTTTTAATTATAGAATTACCTTCATGTTGTAAGCCAATCTAAGCTGAAGACCCGAATTCCGGATTTAATTTTATCTTTCTGGTCACGCAACTGTTTCGTCGATTATTTATCTCAATCTTCCACAGAACGGTGTTTCCGCTTTAGAGAGAACTCTTTCTAAGTCTGTACACCCAAAGGAAGATGATCGGCGAAAGAAGAAGAGTTATAACGACATAAGGTTAGTCGGCCGACATGGTCGATTTATCGATTCTCACAGCTCGGATACCGGGAGGGCATGAATAACTAAAAGCTCTCTTTCTATTTCTGTTGTCGAGCGTCTAAAAGCGCATATATCGATATCGAGGACTTCGCGAATATGGTAGCGCGAGCCCTGCCCTGACGTTGTCGGCCAGCAAAACTAAACGGCGCGATATGCATGGCCATCGCAAAGCTCTTAAGCTGGTAATCATAGTCGGTTCTTACTTCGAGACTTAAGATGTTAATACGACTGTATGGCCAGGATTCTTATTTCAAGATCTTAAGTAACGTCTTAAAATGCTAATACTACTGTGCGATTTGTTCATGATATCTATTAAATATAAAAACCGACTGTAATTGCCGGTTTTAGACGTTGGAAAATTAAGATATCTTAAAGGTTTTTTTTTCTGGATGTGATCTGTGAGTATAATATTAAAATATTGGATCTACGTTTTATTTATAGAGTATTATTAATGTTTAACGTTAGGTCGCATCTCCAGGGACGAGAAACGTAAATATGATAGGAACGTAAAGTTTGACAAGCATAATAAATTCGTATAGTAAAGATAAATAAGTTAACGTAACGATTTCTTCGGAAATAAGTTCTAATCGATTCTATAACGTTTTTTAAACAAACATGCAGTTATGTACGAAATTGTGTAGTAGTTACACGCTACGTTGATGAATTGGCACAAGTACCACTCACTGATTCCTTTAAATTTTACTTCTTCTATCCCTCTTAAAAATTTAACTCTTTGTACAGTTTAGGTGTACGTAATTCTCAACCCTCTTGAAATATCAGAGTTCACGTTCTTTTAAAGGATGCAAAGGTTAGCGTCAAGGTGGTATTCACAGTCAAGACTTTAGAGGGAATTTAACTCTTTGAAGTTTATTCATACAACGATCTTACCATGTTTAAGTTTCCTAAATCGTTTCATCTACGAATTTATAATTCCGAACAAGTTCTCGTTTTCTCAAGCATTCGTTGTTGAAGCATGTCTTACCTGCTGTTACGTAATTCCTTCAAGATGCCATTTGCTACACGTGCTTTCCAGTGTCTTCAAGGTAAATAAGTCAACTCTACCTTGGGTAGTGCTTGAGGGAAGACAAGTACAGGAGGTACTTCAAAAGCTATATCTTTAAGTCGTAGACTGTACGAACCCGTCTCGTAGCTATATGGAATTGCACATTACTATAAAATATGAGCCGCTCGACATTTTTGTACACCATTTATTTTTAACATTTACAATCAACATCTCTTTCGTTTATCAATTATACACGTATAATGTCATATAATACAGTAACGCTTCTGCAATACATATACATGGATATACTCCTCCGGGCGGGATGGGGAGGAAAGGGAGAGGGCGAGTGAGGGAACGCTTTGCTTTTTACATGTTTAATAAGTTAGTCTACATAATTAGGTAAGTCACCCCGTGCGTTTGGGACGCGCAATATTAAGTACGCCATTTCGGTCTCCAAGCGGGAAAGTGAACGACGATCTCGGCTTGGAGGATCGTATTCGTTAATTCTTATTCGAGCTGCCTCGACTTCGCATTTTTCGTATTCGCACGACACAGATTGGCTGTCGACTCGCGATTTTATAATACTTTGCAATGGAACGACGTCATTCTGCGGGGAGAAGTAGACCCTTAGATGCACGAACTTTTTGAGAAATTGATAAAATTTATTTCCTTTGAATTAAAACATTCGTCAGAAATAAGTAGGAAATAATTTTTGCAAATAGCTGGAATGCTTAAAATAGACGTCCAATGAAATTATAATTCGTATTCTCTTAATTAAGAAGATTCTTTACGTCGAGAAGAAAAAGCAAGCAATCAACCAAGAAAAAAGTTCCGCTTTATTTTAGCTATTTATATTGCAATTCTAAAGAATATTCAATTTAAATAATCTATAAGACTGTCGGCAAAATTTCCAAAATTCTTTCTCTCAAGAATTTCTCGGCATGAAACCGCGCGCATAAAGATCAACAAGGACACTTGTGGCGGTAGAATAAATACGAGTATCCCCTTTCACCCCAAGAATGACGAGCGTCTTCGCCCTAAAGGATATATATGTTATATATACATATATAGTCTTATCTTATTACGCCCTTCCTTCTCTGCGCGACTAATTATCTAATATATAATAGAGCACACTTTATGATATGTATAGGTTTCTCGTTGCGTCGCCGATTACAACGTACGTCGATTGATATGTAAATGATACGTGGCCGTCTTATGAGAGCATTGTCATAAGCTATAATGTCTACACTAGTTTCTCCCGCGCGTTCTCGACACGCGGCTCCTCCACCTGTCTTATATTTTCGTACAAAAGAAACGATGGGAGATCAATCTCAAAGCACAAATATATCTATCGAGACAAGCGAATTTATTATGACACCCGATCGAAACGAAGTGTAGATGAATGACCGATAATAATTATTGAAATCCACAATTTCTCCCTGTCTTACAATTAACAGAAAAAACTCAGGAAAGCAAGGACTTAGATACGTTCGAAATTTATAATGTAACGTAATGTATTAGGTATTCGCAATTAAGAACCGGGACTTGAAGATTCGTCCTGTGAGATCAACAATTCAACAAAGTCTACGATCAAGACCAAGTAAAACGACTAAAAACTCGAGAGCCCATTAAAGTCCTTCTTATTACCGTTCACGTAAATCGAGAAACGCAGATCTCCGTATTTCAAAATATCCGAGTTCGGAGTAATTCGAAATGGGTCGCGAGACGATTATCTCTCGACTCCGAACTCGCCGGAAAATCCACGAATGGTTGCAAGAGGGAAACGCGCTGCGTAGAAAAATAATTCGCGATACTTTCGTTCGTGATACTTTCGTATTTCTGACGCGAGAAGCGAGACGGCGTCTTCACGCACGGTTCATTGTAGCGCGATACTTTCGTGCTTCGGCAGGAATATAATAAGGATAATAATTTCATCGCGCGCGCATCTCCACGAGCTCGTTGTCCACGAGCGTCACGGATTAGCCAGCCGGCGCGCGCTCGTCATCGTCTCTAATATCCGAGTGAAAGTACGCGGAGCTTAACGACGCGACGGACGGACGGAAATGCACGGGAGATGCATGCCGCACAGCGAGATCCACGAGTGTCTCCTTCCCTCCTTCACGGTCTCGTATCGCATAGCGAGCTCTGTTCCTCACGTTTCGAATCGCGCCGTCGTCGTCGCGTCGCACGCTCGTAATTTCACCTTCGAACGGCATCATCGGCTTAACGAGCGGATAATACGACGACGCGCAGCGGAAAACGGCTAGGCCACTTCCGGCAAATGGCCGGAGATCCGTAAAACCCCTTCCCTGAGGGTATTCCCGATTCCGCTCGAAGAACATTCCGCGGAAGAAGAGGTCTCTCGTGAACGAAGAGACGCGCGTGATCTTGAATGCAGAACGAAGTGCCAAGCGATTTGAACGAATTGCCTCGGAAAAAAATCCGATCGTAAACAGTTTCCGGAAAGTCAGAAGAAAATATGAACGCATTTATATACAAGGTGTCTCGAAATTTTCAATTCAAAGCACTGTGAACAAACTTTCGAAAAATTCAGTAAAAGAGTTAAGTGTACATTTTTATTCTAAGCAATAGTTTCTCAGATATAAGGATTTAAATATGGTTAATTGTGTACACACTGAATGTGTTACTGTATGTATTGTAACTGCGATAATACATAGATTGAAGAGCAATATATTACAAAGATAGAAAGAAAGAGACAGCAGTAATAAACAATTTAAAGTAGGAAAGCGAATGAGAAGAGTATGGATGAGTGAGATAAGAACAATGTTTGTAAGTCAAGTTTCTTTCTCGGCTTTGTAAAGAGATAATATTTTTAAAAAGAGACTTAAATTCTATTCTATTTTATTCTAATACAGCCAAAATTACAGATTACGTTTAGAAAAGCATCTGTAAGTATTAGTGAGTACGCTAAAGAACGCTCAC